CCCCCTTTTTTAAGGGCCGCCCTTTCCCCCCCCCCATAAAAGGCCCCCCCCCCCCCCCCCCGAGGATGCTAGGCTTCGGTGCAGGGAGCGTGCACGCCCCTCCCTGCCACCACCAACATACCAACACACCCACCACCGCCACCCACCCGTGACGCTCATCAGCGTGGCCAGCTCATTATAGGAGCGGGGCACGGTGATGTTGCCGCTGATGCCGCCAGCCCCGTCGGGGTCCCACTCGGGCGGGATCTCTGCAGCCACGGGACAGGCCAGGCAGGCCAGGCGGGCTCGGCATAGTCCTGCATGGCTCACAGCAACCACGGGCCCATCAGCCAAAGGTGCAGGCTACAGGCTGCTGACAAGGGGCATGGCGCCACACGCACCCGAGTCCCTCGCCGTTCTGCTGCATGTGTAGAGCTCTGTGCTCTCCTCCACTATCCGCCTGCAGCGTGGGGAGGCGCGCGAGAAGGCAGCAAGCAGGGTCAGCAGCAGGTGCCGAAGTGGAGCCGTGGGCAGGCTGGCGGCAGGCGGCTGCAGGCGGCTCAGCCAGCGAAGCAGCAGGCAGCGGCGGCAGGTGCATGAAGAGGCCACCCCAGCCAGCCAGACACCTCCAGCAGCGCCCCTCCCCTCACTTTATCCGCTCCGATGTGCCGTCAGGGCAGAGCGGCTTGGTCTCTCCCTGGATGATCACACACTGCAAACCAGCAGGCACACACATGGTGACCAGTCAGCACGCTGCCGGCCGGCGCCACACGGCCACCCTCCCAGCCCGGTCCTGCCGCCCCAGCGTGCAGGCACAGAGGGCAGCACGCCGGCGGCGGCAGTGAATGCGGCCTGCGGCGCGGGGTGCGTCCCCGGCGGCAGCGCGCCTGGGTGGGCGTGCAGGGGAAGAAGAGGGGCAGGATCATGCCCAGGGTGACAAAGATGATGATAAGCAGGCAAGGCTCGGCCATGCGCCACTTGGCGGGCTTGCCCTTGAAGAACTCGTTGCGGGCCCGTACCACCTGCGGTACAGGATGCAGTGCAGGCGGTACAGTACGATGATATGGCACGGGTGGTACATGGCGAGACAGGGCGGGGACTTTGGCGCGTGCCGGCACCAGGGCACAGTGCAGCACCGGGCGGGACGTGGCTGGCAGGCGCCACAGGGGGCGCATGCATCATGTGTGTGCGTCGGCGGTCGCTCGCTGGCAGGGACAGCGCAGCACAGCGCGGCAGCAGCAGCAGCTCGCCTTGAGGTTGAGGATGGTGAACAGGATGGCGCACAGCCCTGCGATAATGCCGATGGCGGCGGCGGGCAGCACCATGAGCACGTGGTTGGTCAGCTGGGTCTGCACCTCGAAAAACACGGTGGACGACTCCTTGTCAAACAGCCCAAACTGGCCCTCGCTGCAGGGTGAGGAAGCAGAAGCGGCAGGGTGAGGAAACACGGGAGCGGCAGGCCAGCCTGGACGGAGAGCAGTGGCGGGCAGGCGCAGCCCAGGCTGGCCGCTGCCGCCGCGCGCAGGCGCCGGACAGCCACCAGGGTGGGCAGGCGGGCAGCAGCCATGTGTGGCCACGGCGGCATGGAAGTTGGCACGGGAGAGAGGCGGGGTGCAGGCAGGCCGTCGCCAGCGACGCCGCCACGCCCGCGCCTGCCCAGGCCGTGTGCACAGGAGAGGGCAAATCATCTATGCTCACCCCCAGGCCGCCTGCGCCGAGCGCATCGTGTCGCTGGTCAGCACCGCCATCATGCAGGCGAAGAAGATCTGCCAGCCCAGGGACTGCAGGGGCAGGGGCAGGGGCATATGTGTGTGTGCGGGTTTGTGTGGAGGGGACTGGGGGCGGAAGGGACCGAGGGGTAGGTAGGGCAGCAGACATGGGGCAAACACGGCGGCTCGCGGAGGAGCAGCAGCAGTCGGGCAAGGCGCCCGCTGGCCTCCCCCCACAGGCATGCGCGCCCGCCGCGCGCCAGCGCCGGCTGGGTGGCTTGCCTGTTGCCAGAACGAGGCGATCTCCTCCAGCACAAACAGCAGGCCGCCGATGGGGGCAGAGAAGGCAACTGCCACGCCCATGGCGGCGCCAGCTGTCGCAAAGTCGCGCTTGTCCTTTGGGTTCTGCGGCGGTACAGCAGCGGTACAGGGCAGCAGGCGACACAGGGGAAATTGCAGCGCAATCGAGAGGGCATGGGCATGGTACCATGGAGGCAGCGCAGGCGGCCGCCGGCTGCCAGCCAGCCGCGCACCAGACAGCGGCCTTCTCGCAAGGCCAAACCCCGTCGCCCTGCCCTACCGCCTGCCCCATCCCCTGCCCCAGCCGGCCCAGCTGCTTGCGCCTGTCCCGGACCCTGCCCCAGCCGGCCCCGGCGCTTGCGCCCGCCCCGGCCCCAGCCAGCCCCGGGGGCACCTGGAAGTGTCGGAAGAGGCCGGTGTCGATGCCCAGCGTGGTGCTGTGGCCCTGGCTGATGCCCGCGCCCACGGCGGCGCCCATGTGGATCATGGGGCCCTCGGGGCCCACGGGCAGGCCCGAGCCCACGGCGGTGGCCGCAGACAAGAACTTGACGGCAAAGGTCTTGATGTTCAGGATCTGCGGGCGGGGCGGGCGGCGGAGTGTGGAGAGAGTGTGTGAGAGACAGAGGAAGAGAGAGGGAGCAACAGAGAATGTGTGTGTGAGAGAGTGGGAAGGGAGGGAGGATGGAAGGATGGTGGTGGTTGTGGTGTGTGTTGGGGGGTGGCAAGGGGAATCCACATGGCTGCCACACGGCCGCCGCCAGCGGCTCTGCTGGCTACCAGCAGCCAGCGGGGCACGGCAGCAGGGGTGCAGCCACGATCGCCCAGTGTCCCGCACGGTACGCGCCTTGGGCATGAAGCAGCCGTTTAGGTACGCGGTGATTTCGGCCACGCCTGCCCCCGCTGCCTCGGGCGCCACGTTGATGACCAGCCAGGTGGAGGCGTACACCAGGCCCAGGGAAAAGGTGATGTTGAACATCCAGCCCACCACCACGTGCGTGTGCGCCAGCAGCCAGCTGCGGCGGAAGGAGCGCGTTCAGGCTGTTTCAGCGGTTATTGTTTTTGAGGGCGGAGCACGTCGGGGCGGGGAGCCGCGCAGCAGCCGCCTCGGCAGCGCCGGGCGTGGCACCGCGCGCGCCAGCCGAGGCCCGCCTGTGGCGGGCAGCGGCCCGTGGGCGGCCCGCCGGCGGCCGCGCGGCAGCCGAGGCGCGCCACCCACCGCGTGCCGTGGTATTTGGTGGCCGACAGGACGTGGATGAAGAAGTGGAGGAAGAAGCCGACAAGGCCCACCGCCATGCCCGACAGCGCCATCATGAGCCATCGGTCCCAGTAGCGGCCCCAGGGCTGCGCGGCGAGCCACTGGCGGTACACCCGGCTGGACGGCGCCAGGTAGTCGATGCTCTGGAACTGCTTCAGCCGCGCCTTCTCCTCCCCCGTGTACGTGTGGTTCACGCCCGCAGACTCCATGTCGTGGCCGCGCGAGAAGAGCTTGCGCGCGGCGGAGCGCCAGCCGCCGCCGCCGCCGCCGCCGCGGGAGAAGTTGCCGCTCAGGCTGGTCCACAGGTCGGAGCCGGAGGCGGCGCCTCCCGCGGGGCCGCCCACGCCCTCGCCTGCGTCCGAGTCGCCCAGGTGGCTGCTGTTGGTGGCCGGCGGCACGTAGGCGTGGGCGCCGTTGGCGCCGCCGTGCGGCACCGCTACGGTGATGTCTGGCGGCGCCTGCCCCGGCGGCTGCAGCAGGCGGCCGCTGCCGCGCGGCGAGCCGGACAGGCCATCATCGACTGCAGGGGCAGAGGGGGTGGGGGGGTGCCTGGGTGCAAGGCACGGGCCCGGAAGCAGCGGCGGTGGTGGCGGCAGGCGGGCTGGGAAGGGTGCGGGGCTGCAGGGTTCTCGCTGCACCCCTGTGGCAAGTCTGCCCCAACCCACCATCTTCTTCAGAGCTGATTAGACGGAAAATAGGAGGCCCAGCGCCTTCAGACATCGGGCCTGCCTCCGCGTGTGCGGCGCCACCCGCCGGCGGCTGCTCGGTGAGTGGAGGAGAGATCCAGCAGGAGCAGGAGCAGGGTGAAGGCGACCAGGAGCTGTCAGGCCGGCACCAAGGGCGGTCGGTGGAACCCCTCTCCCAGCTGGTGGGGCTGGTCTGTGCACAACACGCCAAGCGATCTGTGAGGACGCAGCGAACTAGCGCTAGACTGTCGATGTGGGAGCGCCCTGCCACGGCGCGCACCACGGCCCCTTCCACCCTGGCCTCAGTAAGGCCCAGGTGGCCAGATGCATGCATGCCCGCTTGCGGCTCTCATACCCCACCCCCCAGCACTCACAATGGGTTCATTCGACGCTCTGTGGGGCGCCCAAGGGGCTCACACAAGCAATTGGCAATTGCGGAGCCCTGTGCTCGCCTCTTCCACATCCCTCCCGCCCTCTCCCGTGGCCTACATACATTTCCTCGTGCCTTTATGGTGCCACCAGCGCCAATGGCGCGCACCTGAGCGTCCCAGCAAGGGGTGATGGTTGGCCCAGCCTCTTTCACCCTCTCTCCTTGCGTGCACGCTTCCCAAAATGTTACCAGGTGCGTACTGGGTGATGTGAAGTGAGCAGGCGCCCTGACAACGCCACATACTTGAAGCCTGGAATGCTTGCTGAGCCGCCAGCTCTGCAGGAGCCTCCCTAGCAGGTGTCTGCGCTTCAGCGAACGCTGAATTGTTGCCTCCGATGCGCAGGAGTGGCCGCCGCTACACCGCCGCCCCCACTGCCGCCTCTGTGCGGCGCTTCTTCTGCACCCGATGATGCGAGCCGTTGTTGCGGAGTGTGGTACCATTTCGATTACCAGGCACCGTGGGACCACGCATCTGCACGGACAGGCAAGTATGCAGCATGTTTGCACAAGGGCGGGACCTCCGCCACAGCCACGATGTTGCCGCCATTCGACTTCCCAGCCCCTCACCTTCATTGCCGACTTGTCCTTGGCGAAG